AGAGTGATGCGAATTTCCATTTTCACCCTACTTCTGTGCAGGGGGGGTGCCTTCTATCCACAGCACCATGTTACCGCTGGCGCGATAGTGCAGCGATCGCCGGCCCGATGCCGTCCCGCTCCGACACACTACTCACGGGACGGAGCGGACAACGTGGTGGGCACGTCTTCCGGGGCGGCCTCGGCCAGCCGGCCGCCACCGGCCCACCCGGTCTAGAGGAAGCTCAACAGGGCTTTCAAGGAGAGGAAAAACCGGGAGAGAGAAGCGGCCAACCGTCCACCAGCTACACCGGCGCCTCCAATGCCCGCGCCAAGGACCCGTCCACCATCACTGTCGGAGATCGTGCGACACTCCTCCACAGCAACAAGCACCGCAGCTGGACCGGCTCCCATTAAAGTCGAGGACGCCGTGGACGATTTGGGATGCACCGTGGACGGGTTCCTTGCAGACTTTCCTTCTCCTCTCCGTTTCCATCGTGAAACCCCTCGTCTCGAATAATCGAGCGACGAGTTTCCTTCTTTTTTTTTCCCCCTTCGGTCCTGACGTTATCCGTAGGTTACGGATGACCGGACCGAATAGTCCATTCCCTCTTGCCAACCAGACTGAAGGTTTCAGTCTAATACGGTAAGTGTTGAACGCAATATCAAAAACACAAGGAACATGGCGGTAAATCAACAATTGTTTATTACTTATAACTACTGTGTATGATGCAACAATTTGTCTACAAATATTATTTCCAACGTTGACCTTAACTGGTTTGCCTTTTTCTTGTGTTTCCGTGTTTTTTTTTGGATTGCGGCGAGTGTGCTCACTACCGATATTACCGACGACAGAAGGGTAGTTGCCGATTGTTACATACGTATAACATTGTTCGAATTAAGGAAAATATCTAATATTATAAGAATCAACTATTGTCTTCCGACGTTGTTTCTTTGTTTTTACTGTTGTGCTTGTGTAAATATATATACACATAGACATAAATATATAATATATATATATTATATATATATACCTTGAGTGCCGTTTGGATACGCGTTAACATTTAATGAATAATATTGTTAAAAAATGAAAAAGATTATTCCTTTTTAAATTTCAACTTTTGAACTATGCTTTGCCCACAAAAAATATTTAAAAAAACTTGCATTGCATGGTAAAATGCTTTTTTGCAAAATTCAGAATTATGCTTAAAATATTTTATTCATATATACCCTATTCTTTTAAAATTACCCTGCTTTTGTGTTTAATTTTTACAAAGTTAGATGTTTAAATCAATTGCATTTATTTTTCTGACAAAATAATGAAGTACATGGTGAAGAACATGAATCTAGTAAAAGTCAATCTTATGTTGACAATATTGTAAGTTTTAATTCTGTGGATGATCTTTTTTTTACAATTAATTTCTTTAAATGAATACAAAAATTATATATTTATTTTTCATTTTTACTAATGATACGACCCTATTTATGCTCCAAATAATTGTGTGTTTGTTGATTTATATGGGCCATTGCCTGCTGGTTGGACTGGAGTATCTTATTTGTTAGTGGTAATGAATCACTTTTCTCGATTTGTTCAATTATATCCATTAAAAAAAGCTACTGGTGTTGCTACAATCAATCGAATAATTAATAATTATATACCGGATTGGGGTAAACCGAAAATTATAGTCTCTGATCATGGCAAACAATTTATTAGTAAGGTTTGGCAGTTTCAAATAAATTATTATAATATTCAAATAAAATATTATTTTGGACTTTTTTGACATAAAACTTGTTATTATGTTTTTAATATGTCATTTAATTTGTTATTAGTATAATTTTTACATTGTAAAATCTCTAATAGTTCAGAAAATCAGCACCTACACCAGAGAAGACCTAAACAATTTTTATTGTAAGTTGTATTTTGATTTGTAAAAAAGTAATCATATAAATCTTGAATGATGAGTCAGTTGTTAATAACAATAATTTATTTAATAATAAAATAAATAGTTAAACATTTTATTACCAATTAGTTAATAGTATCAGTGTACTTTTCATAAAAGAAAATATTTTGTCAAGATTTTTGGTTAATTGTATTAATACCTTGTAACCATCCCATAGCATGTTTAATTTATTTAGTTCTTCAGCAAAAGTCATTAAAAATACAACAACAACTAGCAACCAATTACTATACGTACAACTAATTACAGTAAAAAATTGTCGTACCCTAATTCGAACATTCCATTCATTAACAATTCTACCGTTTCTTTTCGCAATCATATCGGTTAACTTAAATGATCGACCATTATCAATTATACCACAGTCGGGATTAATAACTACTAGATTTTGTCAATAAGGATTTCTCAGTAAACACTCCATGTCGTCGATACGTGAAGCTGACAGTGGTGTTATATTACGTTGAATAATGCAAAGCAAAAAAAAGTAGAAAAAAAATCTTAAACACATTTTTATCAAAAATGATTTATAAATTTTCGAAAATACAAAGTATTGAATTTTAATAATTTATTAATAAAATGTCGTTATTATTTAAAAATATAATGCTTTTATAAATTATATTACTAAAATTAAGCTTCTAGAATGCAAATACTCAACTGTAAAAAGATACTATATCACAATAATTTATTATTTTTTGTGTTTTTCAACATACTTTTGTTGAAATTGTTATATTATAATTATTTATATAGTCTTTGTTGAAAGATGATGATATAAGCAAAAACAAAATTTATTTCTCGTATAATATTTTATATTGATGCAATATCAATAATTCTTATTTTATATATCTAAGGTTAGTCATCAATATTATACTATATACCATAAGTAAAAATTAGGGCTCCGTTTTTTTTTTAATATTGATATCGTAAATCATGATATCAAAAACAAAACTATATGAATGTATATCGATTGTTTGTCTCATAATAATTGTAAAATTGATACGATCTCGACGCAACATTTGTGATTAACACAGCTCGTCAAAATTTGGGTCATGGAATGTTTATGATTTAAATAAATAAAAAATGAGAAAATCATAATTTTACAAATATTTAATTGTGGCTAAAATATTAATATTATAGTAAAACTAAGGGTATATTCGGAATCATCATCAAAAAACCTAATAGAAACTATAAAAAAAATAAACACATCATGGTAAAATTAATACTTTCTCAACTTCGCATCGAAGCTAAAAACATTTCATAAAAATTCAATAACCCAAATTTGTCGAGATGTTTAGTTAAATAAGACACGTATGTTGTAATATTCCCGATGCTTTGCAGTATGCATCTTACATTTATCAATGAAAAATTTATAATCTGTATTTTTAGTATTTGTTAACAAACAAATAATTTATTTGTTATACTACAGTAAGTACAGTTTGTCTTAATAAATTTATATAACTCAACTAAATCATTATTAACCTGATGGAATTTTAGGTATATTTTAAATAAATGATTCGGCAACGTTAAATATAATAATTATTTTATATTTGCAATTATATTAACAAGACAATAAAGATAAGATGTAAAAATATCTGTAAAAATATATTGAAATGAAACTTACAATTCCCAGAGTGAACTATTTCACGACTTTATACTTTTAACGTTAAGTTAATTATCTTAACATAAATGACGGATCGGGGGGTTTTACTTGACAATCGTATAATATCAATTCCAAACAGTAATTTTATTATACATATATATATATATATAGACAAACTAATAAATATTCAATATATCAATATATTAGCATTAAAATAATAATAGTAAAAAAAACAAACAAAAACGAAACATCACCCAGCCATCAGCCATCCATAGTGCAATTAACGTTGAAATGACTGCCAAAACTCTTCTCAATTAATTGTTCCTTTTGCGTATGAAATGTCAACCTCCGCTGCTATATTTCCGTTGAGCACTCGCGTAATAGCACGTAACTGATAAAGTGTTGGTTGTCACCCAGACAGGCCAATACCAACCCAAAAAAAAAAAAACCAATGAAACAAATTAAAAACACGCCAGTTCACTGGCCACGAGTCATCCGACCCAAAAGATGCGGTACGACTTCAATCGCGTACACCGACGTAGTGACAACGAGCTGCCGGTAGTGCCGGACACGATTGTCGTCATTACATGGAGAGGGGTAATGCGATTTCTAGCTATGTGGAACTGGACCGGCTACACACATAACTTTTGAACAATATCGATATATTACGTGTGTCGGTTGGCAGTAAAAAGTGCAAATGCAACGCCGGACCAGTTCGTCAAACTCGCGGTCCACTCGACGTCNCGTCTAACTCGCGGTCCACTCGACGTCGCTCGATCAGTCGGACGAGGAGAGGCAGCTGTACATCAGTCGCCATCTAGTGGTATAACTCGAAGTGCATTGCCACCGCGTCAAACCATGTGTCTTATCTTAAAATAACAATCATGTAATGTAGAATTAAATACAATAAACTAAAAAGACCACTAAAAATGCTGACAACAATATCCCTAGATTGGGGGTATTATCACATACTATAAAAAGCACTGAAATCATTTCAGAGTAGAGATGGAAAGTTTAGTTCATTAGTTCATAGTTCATTCAAGTGAATAGTTCAAATGAACTATTCTTAAGTTCACTAATTTTATTGATCATGCTAATATAGTTTGGCAATAAACTATTCATTTTTCACTATTAGTATAGCAGTACACAGTTCAGTTGTAGTTCACACTACTTATGGGCAATTAAGTTATAAACTAACCCTTAACCTGAACATCATAAACTAAGAAAAAATTATTATCAATACCCTCATGGATCATGTTATCATTATCATCTAATTCAAGGTAGATTTATTTTATTTTATAATTTCACGGGCAGAAGACCTTTTTACAAATAATACAAGTACATAAATTAGGTTACCGTAACATAAAAAGATATGTACTAAAAATATGCATATTAATTATTAAACGTAAAGATAAAAATAAAAAAAATTAAAATGAATTTAATTATAAAACATAAAGAAAAATACAAAAATTAAAATGAAAAGTTAGGGTCAACATTGGCATTAGTCATAAGACGCCTAAGTGGCTCATTTTTTGCATAATTAGTTAGGCAGTGAGGGACAACAAATGGAGCATTATTTCTTGTTGCGCGCTGAGGTACTCTAAAACATATGAGGGACAACAGGCTCGGCGAATCAATATTACCATTCAATAAACCAATTAGGAAATTAATTCCAGCATTGCGCCTACGCGCAGCTAATGATGATAGACCAAGCAAATACGAGACAGAGGCATAATCGTGGTTTGGACAGACTATGTTGAGCGAGTAGCTGACAAAGCGTAGGAACTTTCGCTGAACTCGCTCAAGCTGTAGCGAGCCCAAGGCAATATAAGGATCCCATACTACACTACCATATTCTAGAATAGGTTTGACTATAGAATAGAATAGCACTTTAAGTGAAAGTCCTTGCTTGAAATATTTGGCCAAACACATAATAAAACCTAACGCTTTAAAAGCTTTACAGCTAACATAATCAATATGAAGCATAGGATCAAAATTATAACTAAACTTAAAGCCTAGATCTGTAATAGAGTTTAACTCACGCGAGATATTTACTTCAGTAATACTATAGTGAAACACAATAGGATGTTTTGTTCTATGATACGTAAAGACCTTGCATTTGATTAAATTAAGTGACAATCCCATAGAGTTTGACCATTTAGAAAATCTATTAAGGTCATCCTGTAATTTCAAACAGTCATCAGTCGAGCTTACACGCATAAATAGTTTGATGTCGTCGGCAAAACAAAGAAAATGACAATGGTGTAAAACTTTATGCACACAGTTTAAGAATAAGGAAAATAGAATAGGGGACAAGTGACCTCCCTGTGGGATACCAGAAGACGCTAAAAATACATTAGACTTAACGCCGAATACTTTTACCCATTGGTATCGGTCACAAATATAGGAACTAATCCAAGAAAGTAGTGGTTCACCAAAACCATATTGTCTAAGAACAGTAATAAGGGTCGTATGATCTACAGAGTCAAATGCTTTACTGAAATCATTGTATATAACATCTACTTGTAATTGATTTTGGAAAGCATTAAAAATATAGTTAGTGAACACAAGATTACAAGTGGAAGATGAGCGACCCGGGCGAAAGCCATGCTGTTCTTCCATTAAAATGTTATTAACAGGTCTTTGTATTCCATTAAGTATAAGCAATTCAAATATTTTTGATATGTATAGCTATAGGGCGGTAATTTGAAATAAGACTAGGGGAGCCCGTCTTGAATACCGGTGTAATGGAACTAAGTTTAAGCATAGATGGGAATGATCCTTCGTCTAAGGAACGCCTAAATAAGATCCATAGAGGATATGCCAATAATTCTCTTAGTTCATATAAAAATGTACCAGATAAGCCATCAGAACCAAAACCTCGTAGGTTTGATAATTTAAGGTAAACATCATCAACTCTGAAGTATACATTGTTAGGAAGGTCAAAGGTGGGAATATCTAGTTGGTCAATTTAGACATTATTTTTCTTAGTACTCTAAACCAAAGAGAAGAAGTCAGAAAATAGATTTGCAGACGTAAGCTCATCGGAAGAGCACACGTCGTTGTAGGACAAAATTTTAGGTATATTACAAGATGACCGTTTGCTATTAACATATTTCCAAAATTCATACGGTTTATCTTTGAGTAGTTTTTCAGCATTACTAATGTGTTCACGATAGCATTTTTTAGAAGTATATTTAAATTTGGGACGAAGAAATGAAAATTCTTTATAGCATGACATGTTGGAAGAGGACTTAAACTTAGCATGAGCTTCCCTTTTTTGACGCAGTATTATTTTGAGCTCAGCAATAAACCAAGGAGGATAAGTGGGTTCATAAAATCTACATTGAGGAACAAAATCAAGAATAGATTTATGCAAAACATCATAAAATATATTAGTAGCGGTGTTAGCATTGTGAGGGAGAAATGTGTTATACCAGTCGTAAGCAGAGATAAATTGCCGAATACTATTGTAATTAGCTCTCTTGAAATTATGGAACAGATGGCTGCGATCGAATCTAGCAAAACAGAAATTGGTGTTTAAAATTAGATTTAGTGCAGGGTGATATGCGTCAACAAGCNGATTTAGTGCAGGGTGATATACGTCAACAAGCACAAGTGGATCACAAGATTTTTCAATACTTAACTGCTTATTAGAGCTAAAGATTAGATCCAAAATATTATTTGAGGCATTACGTATGTCACTGGCTTGGAAAAACCCACTTGTTGCGAATGATTCAGGCACACATGGTGCGCGAGGTGAAGAGGAATAAGAATAAGATAATCCATTACTATCGTTGTCCCAAGAGATCTCAGGGAGATTGTAGTCACCACAGATAATAAAAGTGTGATCAGGATACTTTGTTATCAAAGATTCAACGGATTTGAAAGATAACTTGAAAAAGTTTGAGTTAATGCAGTTTAGAATAAATAATAGAGTAACCGCTGGTATCAGTGAATACACTGACATTATAAATAGACAGGTATCTCAACTAGATAAATATTCAAAAGAAAGAGAACTTGAGATTCAAGATTTAAGGAGACAGTTAGATAGAAGAGATAGGTACTATAAAAGAGAAATAGAACGACTTAGTGATGAGATAAAAAATATTCAAGTTTTAGGTAATAATTCTAACAGGTCAGTATATTTTGAAGATCGTAAAAATAATAGTTATAGTAAGTATTGACACGGCCCGCGTTGCTTCGTTATACACGATGCCCCGCGACTCGTGCCACCTTTATCAGCCGTCGCCCTACTATGAGTATTTGACTGACCAACACCGCGTGTTATACGCTGATACGATCACATTTGCATGTGCCCATATCTCTGTCTCCCATAACATCGTTGTACCGTTTAATAGACATATATATATATATAATTAACACAGTGACATACAGCAATACTAACAGGAGGNTATAATTAACACAGTGACATACAACAATACTAACAGGAGGGCGGACTGCACACATAAACACTTTTTGCAATTCACGGCCAATGTGCCATAATAAGATATCCCTATCGACAGTTGACATTTTACCATCTTCGCGATCACTACTTTTACCTGATTAACTTAACTTCGCTACTCCGTATATTATAGTGTGTGTCGCCGTCAGCTCCCTGTTGGATTATAACATCTCTAGGTGTCCAGCAGGTTGTATTATCCATTTAATATTTTAATTGCTTAATAAATATTTATTTATATCGTTGTTAACCTAAAGTGTTATATATATATATTGTAGTGCGACCCTTGGTAGTTCCTCTAAGGGAATATAAATTAAATAGGAAACTTCAGTACCTAAGGTAGATATAGCCTAGCCAGCTATCCCCCGTTGGTCCCTTAGAATACTGTCGACGGGCATTTAGGTTAAACCCCTTAATAGCGACGTAACAACGCTATGGTGCAAAGTCCAGCAAATGCCGCACGGCCGACGACGACCCGCCGCAAATGGTGCGACAGTCTTCCTCCCGTTATGAAAGCGACAACGTCGACCAACCGATCCGCACTCGCGCACCGTCGCCTACAACGCTACTAACCATTTTGCCGTCCAAGGATTACGCCGGACATCGCGTCGTCGACGCCAGCGAAAGTGCCGCGATATTATGCGAAGATTATTATTACTGTGTTTATCTTTTCGCTTTGTTTTATTTTTGTTAATATAATCTGTTGTCGCTCATTTAATAAACGGCCCACGGGTCTCTACCCTCAAAACCAGTGTCGACCACATTTTTGCGACGTAAGTCGTGTCAATATAATAGAGACAAAAGCCCATACCCTAGAAAGAATTACGGTAGTAGAGAACCAAGTTCAGAAAGAAGGTACGATAGATACAGTAGAGATAGATCATTTTCTAAGGAAAGAAATCATAGTAACAAGAAATTCAGAGATTTTAGTAGTGATAGAAATGAGTACAATCGCTATTCTAGACGTTAGGACTACGATAGACAGTCTTATAGATCACCATATAATAGAGATAACAGCAGAGAGAGATGGTCAAGGTCTAGAACACCAGAATTTCGTAGGTATGAAAATAACGAACAAATGATTGGCTTAAGTAAGGTCACTTGTTTTAAGTGTAAAGAGGTAGGTCATTATGCCGACAAGTGTACCGTTCAAAAAAACGTACAAGGTCCGAGTCAATTATAAATCCCAAATATTTGACTCGAAATAATTGTAAAAATAATGAGAGTAAAGAATTTTTAAGTATAATAAATAAAGAGAAGTCAGATTATATAAAATTTGTAGAGAGTTGGTATAGTAATGAAGAAATCTATAGAATAAAAAAATATATTAGTCAAAAAAAAAAAGGAAGTCAGCAATATTACATACCTTAATAAAAAATTAGAAGCCAAAAGAAAACGTAGAGTTTTATCAATGGAAGTCGAATTCAATGGTTTTAAAAGGTTTGCAATTTTAGATACAGGTTCTAATATTTCGTGTGTTGATTTAACATTAATTGATGATGTAAAACTTATTAAACCTAAAGGTAGAGTAATTATTACGGGAGCTGATAATACGGAATTAGAACAGTTTGGAAGAATAGACTTAGAACTAAAAATAAATAATTATTCATATTTCATTAATGCATGTGTAATTGTAAATTATTATTGGGTAACGATTTTAATATTGACAATCAATTAATTATTAATTTTAAAACTAAAGAAATAGAATTTAGTAAACAAAATAATTCAGTTAAAATGGACGAAATTTGGTATAATTACAATAAAACATGTAATATTAATGAAAATAAAAATTCAGAATGTATAGCTAGTCTGTCTTAACCATAAGGAAAAGTGTACAAACAAACTAATTTCTTCTCATAATGTAACAATAGCACCTAAAACTAGAAGGCAAATAAAGATTAATGTGACGCGAGAAAATAAAACAGATTTGGCTGTTATAAAACCATCGGAACGCTTAGGTAGGCAGAAAGGCTTGACACTAGAAACTAAAATATTACAAAAAGTGAATGAGGTCACTGTTTACAATTTTTCAAATCTACATAGTACTATACATGAAGGTTTTATTGTGAGAGAATTACTCGCGAACGAAACAGAAACTACGTCATCATTTAAGAATTATAAGATTTTAAATACAAACGGTATCGGTTTAGACGACGACGTGAGAGACGATCTAACCATTTAAATCGTTTTCAGCGCAAAAAAGCAAAAAAATTAATTACGAGTTTTAAACATTTATTTACATCAGATCCACTTAAAATAAGCTGCGCTAATGTTGAACCGTGCGAAATAAGGTTAAAATCGGACAAACCAATTTTTCAACCGCCATATCGTGTGTCCCCTTTTTAACGAGAAAAATTAAAAACTCTAATTGACGAAATGATAAAATCTGATATTATTGAGTCGAGCAGAAGTAATTACGCGGCGGCAGTATTTTTAACACCAAAAGGAAATACGGGAGAGTATAGATTTCTAGTAGACTATAGGAAATTAAATGAACAAGCTATTAGTGATAAATACCCAATTCCAAGGTCACAAGATCTTTTTAGGAGTCTTGAGGGAGCTAAATATTTTTCTAACTTTGACTTAACACAAAGTTATTTTCAGTGTCCTATAAAAGAAGAAGACAGGTACAAAACTGGTTTTATTACAGATTTCGGACTTTATCAATTCAAAAGAATTCCCCAAGGTTTTAAAAATTCAGGTCCAATTTTTCAAAGAANAAAAAATTCAGGCCCAATTTTTCAAACAATAATAAATAATGTTTTTAGTGATTACCTTTATAGAACAATAATTGTCTACTTAGATGATATATGTTGTTTTGTGGGGATTTTGAAGAAGCTTTGTCGAGATTAGAACAAGTTCTTGTTAGGATTGACAAGGCAAACTTTAAACTTAAAACAAATAAATGTTCATTTTTTAGTTCGGAAATAGAGTTATTAGGACACNGTTCATTTTTTAATTCAGAAATAGAGTTGTTAGGACAAAAAATTTCTGAAAGAGGTATTACATCATTAGAGAAAAATATTGAAGCAATAAAAAAATTTCCGATAACACATAAAACAAAAGATGTCAGAGCTTTTGTCGGTTTAACGAGCTATTACAAGAAATTTATTAAAAACTTCGCAAAAATTGCCAGTCCATTAACGGACTTAACAAAAAA